AGGGACCTTGGAGGTCTTCTAGTCCAACCCCCTGCCTAGGCAGGAAACCTTATACCGTTTCAGACAAATGGCTATCCAACATCTTCTTAAAGATTAGCTGAGAACTTTTACACAACATCCCATCTTGAACGTGTAACTCTGGGCAGTCAACCATACAAGTAGTTCTCGACTTACGACCACAATTGAGCCCATAATACATGTGGTTAAGTGAGACATTTTGGAGTATAAGACGCACCTTTTTCCCCACTAAAAGAGGGTGAAAATTTCGGTGCGTCTTATACACCGAATGTAGCCCCGCCTGCCTACCGGCCCCACCCTTTGGCCACTGCCTCCCAGCAATTTACCTCCTTGCAGCAAATGGGGAAAATGGGGCTTGCAGAGGCTGCCATAAGCTATGGCAATCCCTGCAGCCGGAAACAGCTGATGATCGGGAGGCCCATGCTGAAATTGAAAGTGAAACTTGCTGTTTGCGACACGGGCAAATTGCTGGGAGGCAGAGGCAGATTTTTTTTCTTGTGCTAATCAGGCTGTTTACTGTTTGCTGCAAGGAGGTAAGTCAATAATTGCAAATGCCCATAGAATGTTCAAATTATTAGACTTATTTTTTAAAGACTGCTTTATTATTGTTCTAGACAACTTAGCAAAATGAAGAATCTTTTTAAAATAAATGCTTGATCCGAAGAGGCCCAGTGCTATTGTAGCTTCTTTTAAATACTGGAGAATAACTATACTTCGAGAAAACACATCAATTTTAACAACATCTGTACAACTATAGTCTGAAATGTAACACCACAAACGTTGTATAATGTCCGTACTGTTTGCTGTTTGTTGCAAGGAGGCAAATTGCTGGGAGGCAGAGGCAGATTTCCCCCCCCCCCTTATTTTCATCCCCAAAAGCTAGGTGGGTCTTATACTTTGGAGAGTCTTATACTCAGAAAAATACGGTAGCTTACTGAAGAAATTGCTTGATGCTTTCTGCTTTCATTTCCTTCATGAAGGCTTCCAACATCTTCTCATGGGCATCTGTCCTCGGCAACTGATGGCCATGTTTATTCGCCAGCCAACCTGAAAATCAGATCAAACCAATTTATGTGACACGAAAAGCCAAGAGGTAAATTGTCACGTGCCCCAAATTTTGCAATTCAAGTGTCACCTCCTCACTAGCGCAGATACACCAAATATGTTAACACAATTAACCCGGGTGTGGAATTAGCTCACCCTCACCACTTTCTTCATGAACCATAAACTGCAGTACAACTAGTCCTCAACTTATGACCCCAATTGAGCCCCCGTTTCTGTTGCTATGTGACACAGTTAAGTGAGTTTTGCTTCATTTTACGACCTTTCTTGCTACAATTGTTGAGTGAATCACTGCCAATCTTCAGTTAGCAACACTGTCGTTAAATGAATCTGTTTTCCCCACTGACTTTGCTCATCAGAAGGTCGCGGAAAGGAATTGCATGAACCCTTCCCCCAACACACTGCCACTGTCGTAAATATGAGTCAGTTTCCAAGCGTCTGAATTTGGATCATGTGACCATTGTTGCTCTAACGGCGGGTGAAAAATGGTCATGTCACTTTTTTTCAGTGCCATTGTAAGTTTGAGGGCTCAACAAAATGTTGTACGTCGAGGACTACCTATAATCAATCAGTATGACTGTACACAACAGCCTAAGCCAGTGATACAATATAATAATATAATGTAATGTAATGTAATGTAATGTAATATAATATAATATAATATAATATAATTAATATAATTAATATAATATAATT